CCTGCTTCCACTATTTCCTTGATAAATGAGAGGGTCCTTACCTCCCTGCCTAATCATCTTCCCGGTGTAAGTACCACTCTAGGAAGAAAGGGCCCCCTTGTGGGATGCCGGAGGGCACCTGCCCAGGTGACCAGAGCCTTCTGCCTGCCAGCCAAGTTGGTGCGAAGCTGGGCAAGAGGGGGCAGTGCCACCCTGAGAAGCTTCTAGCTTTCCTTCCCCAGAGATGAATCCCTCCCTCTCCCTCTTCCCTATTAATCCTCGGAAGTGAGGCCCCTATTGTGGCCCCTCGCCCTCCTTGGCTGGCGTCTAATTAACTCCTCCTGCCCCCGGTTTTGTGTGCCCCCCTTACCCCACCTTGTCGGCCCCGCCCCTCTGCTCCGCCTGCTCCCCCCCACGGACATTCCAGCCCGGCTGGGCTGCTGTGCCAGGGCAACCAGGGCTGGACCAAGACCTAATCCCCCCGCCGCCTGGCCGGGCTGGGGGAGCCCCACTCACCTCCCCGCTCTCTGGGGGCTGCCCGGCTCTGCTGTGGCGGAGACACACAATCAGGACAAAGGCACAGCCCCCAGGGGGCTAACTCAGCCTTCACGCCCAGGTTGTGCGGCATTTGGGAGTTTAATGAATTGTCCATCACGCCTTTCAGGGCCCGCCCGTCAGCCTGGATTAATCTTCGGAGCCCTGGTGGGGTAGGAGACACTAAGCCTGTATTTATTACTCTCCCATTGTCACTAATTGAGGTAATTATCTGTGACTCTAGCCTGGCCAACAATGCCGCATTCACTCCTGGGACCTCGATGGGCCTGGCTCCCACTCTCAGCACTGGCCCTCCCTCCTCTATCAAACCCATCCAGGGCTAAGTTGGGCCCTGGAGCATGTTGGGAAAGTGGACAATGTCCCACAATGCTTCACCTCCCAACCAGTTCTCCCACAGCCACCATTATAGGGTTACAGCTAGGGAGAGATTTGCCACTCACAAGTAGGTGAGAAAAGAAGGCACACTG